ACTTCAAGCTGAGCCAGATAAAGACCTAGGAAGCTCTTCCAGATGTGCGAAGTGTCGCAGCTGAAGTAGGCTAGGTTTATTTCCTCAATGCAAGGTGTTCCAAAGTTTCACAAGGCCATTGAGCGGTCGGTCCGAAGCAGGGGTTACGGCAGACGTCCAAGATTTGTCAGGGCCACTGAGAAGGTCCATAGTTTGAGCTACGGCTATGTCTGGAAATCAGGATTGCCCAAAGGTTTGGACTGCGAAAGGGCTTAGAACATAGAGAAACTTACTTGCAAACGCTTCCACCCTTCAAAGGCTGGTAGTCCAGTCTTCTTGACTCATCGCATGATCCAAGCCCTTGCGCTGCCAACTGGAAAACCTTCCGTAAGTTTTTTTCCACTTAGCAACCTTGCACGTCCGCACCGTGATAGGTTTTGCAAGGGTCCCCGCACGAACTGTTATTCATGTAGGTCAGAACTGAGTCTTTCAAAGCTCTGTGAGCTGCGCAGGTGTCCGCAACGGTTAAGGCCTTCATCAGCAGGGACCCAAGCGTCGCCAAGGGTTGCAGTGTCTGGGCCCAGCAGTTTGGAGCAGAGGGCTTCGTGTCCAGATGTTTAGGGTCCAGGGTTTTGAATGATGCGGTTCAGATTAGACGTATCTGTAGTAGTGACAGCAACAGTTGTTGCAGTACGAGTAGAAGGAGGAAGCGCGGCTACGGCTAACAAGAAGAAAAAAGGGCCGCTGAAAAAGGGAGATCGCAGTAGTCACCAATTGTGCGCCTGTTTCTGTCTTGCATAGCTGCACAATAGGTTTGTTTCCGCCATGGGGCTTCGTAAGCTCAGCATAGCAAGGTGTTACTGTTGAAGCGCCGTGCCCGCCAGTATTTGCTTTTTTTCAGAAGCCAAGTTGTGAGTCAAAACGGGAACTGGTGTCATCTGCTAACATGCCTCTCTTAGGACGCAAGGCAGACCACATAGCGACAATGGTCTTGCTCTTCTATCGTTCACGGATGACTTGGATACCTTACTAGCATCTTGGAATCCGACCAAACATCTTCTCCCAACAATCCTAAACCCGGTAAAGCCTCAGCTGTGAACCATATATCACAGACTTTCAATCTCAGAGCTACCCTGTTGAGAAGGGCACCTAGCGAAACGGCATGCCCAGATTAGCTGGTTCTCAAGGGCACCTACCACAACACCACAACCGTCAAGCCACGAGAAACCCTCATCCCTACACCAAACATACATGCTAAATTACAAGCTACTGTAGAAAGTTACTTGAGTTGCAGAAACCAGGCCATTAGCCACACTTTTTTGGGGACTCGGTCCAATATTGAGATGCCACATCCGAAGCCCCACGCTCGAGGTGCAGACCTGCCTAACGAGCTCATCGAGCTGCTCGAAAAGTGGCGTGTCTGCTAAGCTGCTAAGTACCTACCAGAACCTGATTCCGGGGAAAGCAGGTTGCTGAAATATCAGCTGCAATAGGTTCTCTCTCGAACTGATACATTGGTTTACCTGGATGCACTTACATTTCTGTGATTGCTAGGTTTTTCGCTTGGGACTTCATACCCCGCCAAGGCCAAGATGGGGATCACGGGTTTTATGGTCAACAAATCTCAGCACCAGGCTAGGCAACATGCGATGGGTGTGACCATTCTGCTGTACCGACAGTTGCTTCAGGCACGGCTTCGAGCTGGGGGCTTGGGTTCAGGGGCCTCATAAAAGCCAGAACATTTGAGCTGCATCTGGTATGTCAATCACCCATGGTTGACCGGTCAAGGGCTTTGTGCTTGGCTACTGTGACTGCTTGCCCTGCTCAAGAATTGTTTGAGAAAAAATGCTGTTGCAGCAAAAACGGCGTATCACCCGTCCCGAGACTGGAACAACGGTTGCCTCCGGGCCTCCTATGCAAAGCCAGACGCAAAAGCTCGACATCTACATGACCTGCAAGAAGAGATGGATCAGCCAAAGAGCGGATGTTGGCCGATTGAATTTCGCCCACAGGGACCAGAGCTGGGCGAAGTGGATCTTGAACAGGCGGAGATAGCTGTTCGCGATAAGCTCGATGACAGCCTACGCCAGGGAAATCTTATCTTAGGCCTGTGTGTCGGAAGGACAAGAATAACAAGTGCCCACGCTTGTGAGGCCTTTTCAAAACATGCTTACGAAGCTGGCAAGTCTTCATCCCAGCATTTCAACGTAAATAGAAGGGCCACAGGCCATTCGAGAACGCATCAGACATGGCTTTCCATATCTTGCGCCTGTGTTACCATGGATCTGAGGAAGCCCGTGCTTATTGGAATCACTAAAGATGGAGCACCTGCAATTCTTTGTGTGCTTGCGCCGGTCAACAATTCAGAATTTTGGGCCTAGTGTTGAAGGCCCTAGGACTAACTTTTATCCCAATCCCGCTTCTGCCTAGGATCCCTAAGATTTCTTCCGCAGCCTTCCTACAACCATCGCGACTGACCTAAGTGACCAAGAGCTGCATCCACAAACAAGTGAAGCAGTTTTACATGCTGTGTGCAGCCTAGGGCTTGTCACCCAGACTCCAAGAAGATGCAAACAGGCTCCATCATGTACACCCGCGGGGGAGCAGGGCCGTGGGCCCCTCCTGTAGTCCCAAAGCTATTGGGCCGAAGCACATATAGTACTTCCTACGGAAGTCCTCAGAATCTTTTTTCCATACCCTTCTGAATTGCTGGGGAACCATAGCTAAAACTCGATGGTTTAAGGAGCAAATGAACGACTGAATCCCATAAAATTCCCCATAAATGTGTCCATTTTCTTTTCCCTTGCTTCATTTGCTACTGACAACCAGCACTCCAACCCTAAACCCTTGAACCTTAAAGCCTATAGCCTATATATCCCTAGATCCCCACAGTCGCCCTATATGTGCCTTGAGGCCTCAGTTCCTATTTCATTTTCCCTTTTCCATGCGACCTTAAACCGCAAACCCTAAAGCCCAGCCGGGCAAAAACCCTGGCGAGCCCTTAGCCCCAGGAACTCGTAAAGCAGACAACCTTGAAAGCCTAGACACCCTAGGTCCCTTAAAAGGGGTATGTAGAGGTATATAGGCATATTACCCCAATAATGGAAAGTCAAATGGAGAAGAACATGGAAACAACATGGAAACTGCTATATATAGGGTTATATACGGATTATATGAGCTACAGTCTAAACTTCCTAAAGGGGGGCGATATAGGGGATTATATAGGGGAGTATTATAGGGGTTCTTAAGCGGGATACTAGGAGACTAGACAAAGGCTTACATGATGGTTTCAGAAAACTAGGGGCCGCTGTTTGGAAGTCCCCATCATACGGATTCTATTTTAGTCTGTTATACAGGGCCCCCTTTTGTTGAAAACCCCTGTAAGCAGATTCCAATCCTTTTGTGAAAAAGGAGTCTTCACAAGGATCCACAGTTCCTGTACAGAGTTGTATGTGATAGAGTGTTGCCGCCGTCTCCCTCCAAGGATTGTGCTTCACAACTCGGACTTCAGCCTGATCCTCATCAGGTTTTGAGTTGCAGTCCCCCTAAGGGCCATAACTCTAATTGTCCACTTTATTCTTACGGCCTAGGCCTTAAGTCCTCGGCTGTAGAGGCCGCCGGCTAGCAACATTGGAACATGCTCTACAAACACAAAGCATACCTCCAACGACACTTAATGGGTCCAGGGATATGCAGGGTTTGGGCCTCTGGCTCAAATTAAGGGGACCCCTTACCACAGTGCTACATCATCCTGCTAAGCACCTTTGAAATGAGACCCTTAACATGAGTGAACCCCCGTCATAGGAAGGCTCGAAGAAGGGACAGCTTCCTGTCTCACCTGGCATACCTTAGCTCATATCCTTGAGAGATCAAGTTTAGGGGTTGTATAGGGCTACCATGGAGTAATGATATAGAGATACGAAGGAATATTGCTTCAATGTATTGGGATATAGCACCAAATCTTGTTCCCCTCAATCTACTTGCAAGTTCAGTTATATTCATTGCCTCATTGCAAAAAGCTTGCAATGTCAGACGGAATAAGCAGAAACTACCCTTACAGGGGGAATCTTGAGGTACACGTTTTCACACAGAAACCAGCTTCGTAGGAAGCACTTTACAAACATGCCAATTTCTCATGCTTGTTACGGTAGCCCAACCTCGCGAAACTCTCTACTCCGCACCCAATACCGAATGACAAACTGCTGCGACAGGGCGCGTCATGCCGTAAACCTTTAAGCCGAGCGCGGTCCAGGGCAGGAACCCAAGACTCTCAACCGTTAACTCCTACGCTCCAAATCCCCCAACACTCTCAACCCCAAACCGAAAACCCTGGACAATAAGCTTTGAACGCCACAGCCTGTCCTTCGCTGGTTGTCAGGCAAGAACAGGAATCTGCAGAACCTGCTTGTGCTCACTGCGATTAAGGCCGACAAGCGGCAACCTCAGAGGACTTGCCAGGATGGGGAGCAGAATGTGCGGTTTTGCACGGGTTTGTGGGGCCGAACATCCTGAGGTAACTTGGAAACTAACGTACTAGGGAAGCATTGGAAGGATTACAGAGGTTATGGCTTTGCGTAGAACTGGTTTGAGCTGTAGCTCTACCTGCTTGGTCCCTGTGACTATCCAAGTATGTTTGAAGCTTGTCGTTGCTGTGTGAAGATGCCACAACCCCAGATCTTACAGTCTTCCTTTGATTTCGCTCAACTCCCTTCGTCCTCTCTGCAATGGCAGAAATAGTTCAGTAATTGTGTAAAGCGGACTTCGGAGCATCTTAGGATTTCGAACTTTCAGCTTCAT